TTTTCTTTTTAAACCAAAAAAAATTTCCGTCAACCCACTTTTCCCCCGCCCCCCTTTTAAAAAAACAAATAAAAAAAAAAGGCAAAGTCTTCTCATGCTTTGTTTGATTTAAAAAAAGCTTTTGACTCAATTTGGCATACGGTCTCACCCAAATTGATGAAGGGGGGTTTTTGGGAAAAACAAAAAGCCTTAAAAAATCCATTCCAAAAAAACAGTTGTGGTTAAAATTGGCAAAAAAACACCCCTTTCTTTCCACAGGGCCGGGGGGTGAACAGGGATTATTTAAAGCCCCCCCACCCTTTAACTCTATATAAAAAAAAATTGGCAAAGACTAGAAACCAAACCCCCGGGGCAGAAAAAACCCCACCCGGCCTCACCCTCTAGAATCAAAAGTAAAATTCTTCTGTTTGCTGAGATTTGGTTCTTCGGGTCACCAACCAATGAAGCCTACGCCACCTACATTTTTCGCCAATTCTGTCAACCTGGCCCTAAACGAAAACTCATAAACAAAAAAAAGGGTTTTCCCCAAAAAAAGGTCCATTTGCCAGACCCCCCCAAAAAAAAATTTCCCCTCTAACCCATTGCCCTAGAGCACACAAAAACGGTACATACCTTGGCCGAACATCACGTCCAGTAACTTTTCCACAAAGCTGTGAACCCCTGAAAAAAAGGCAAAAAGGGGCCCTTCTGCCTCAAAAGGAACATAAAATTCGACATACCATTGGATCAAAGCCTTAAATTCTAAAACCCCACTTAAAAAAGGAATGTTTTCCAAACCTTCCATAAAAAAAACCCCAAATCACCTACAGAGGATAACCGGAGAAGAGTCCCCTAAGACTGGTCCGGGGGCTCTGTTCACAAACACAAACACCCCCCCACAACCCCAGAAAACAACACAATTAACCCCCCAAATCATGAAAAACAAAATATAATTTTACACATTTGAAGAACAAACAAAAAACAGACAAACCTAGAAAGCTTTTGGGCCCTAAAAGAGAGTACACATGGCAAAACTCCCACTGTACTGACCCAAATTTAAAGGGAAAATTTTTACTGGTTAAGCCTCAGGGGAAATACCCCTTGCTGGAGAAAGGGCCCGCCCAGGAACCCTCCCCTCTCAGAAAGAACCTATTGCACATTTTCCCCTGGGGTTAAACACCCTTTTCCAACCCCACCAAATTAGACCATTTTAAACACATTTTCCCCAATTAAAAAATCCACAAAATTTTTGAAAAAAACCCCTTTTAAAACCCTCCCTTTCTTTTTTCAATACAACCCCCCAATTTTGTTTTTTTGTTCCCATTTTCTTTAATATTTGGGGAATTGTTCAAACCCTTAAAAAGAATAGACTAATAACTTTTTAAAATGTCTTCATTCTTTTAAAACTTCTGATTAATGTTTCTTTTAAATTTGATTGTTTTTTCACTTTTGTTTCTATTTTCTTCCTTTTTGGGCAAGTTTTCATCTTTTCCCATCCCCAAAAAAAGCCCCTTAAATTTAAATTGAAATTTAAATTTTAATTAGGAAAGAGAGATAGGGAAGAGAGATAGGGAGAGTAAGGGGTTTTCCCTGGGGTTTTTTTTTTGGGGGCGTTTTTTTGGGTTAGAAAAAAAAAATAGAATTTAGAAACCAAATAAGAAAAGGTTTGAAAGATCAAACCCCCTCCCAAAAATTTTATTTTATGGCCCCGAATTTTTGAATTTTTGAGAAAATCCCTTTTGTTTTATTACTTTAAAAAAGCTTTTGTTTTCATTTTTGGGAAAGGGCTATTCTTAAAATTCCCCAAGTGGGCTTGTGGTAATGTTAGACTTAATAAAATTATGTACACAGAAACATTGTGCTAAAAAAAACAAAAAACCAAAGAAATAATTATTTTCGCAACGTCAGGTGTGAGCAAGGGTAGATTAGTCCCCAAAAAACCCTTTTCAACTTTACTGAATGAATTTGCAACATGTTTGGGCCTTCCAGCCCCAGGGACTCCACATTTCACTGAGGGAAAAATACCTGCTAAATGCGATGATTTGGTTCTTCTATCACCAACCAAAAAAGGGCTTCAACAAACCTTAACATTCTAGCAAAATTGCCTAAATTGGGGCCCCGGGAGTAAAAAAAAAAAACAAAAAAAATCTGATTTTCCCTAAAAAAAACCCCCAAATCGAACACAAATTTTAAAATCACCCTGAAAAACCCATAATTGAACACACAAGATTTAATCATACCTTGGTCTAAACCATTTACATGGGGGAAACCCTTTAATAGGGCGAAAATCACTCAAAGAAAAAGCCCGCAGAGCTTTGTATAAATGAAAATGAAATTTTTTCAAAATCAACATTCCAATTGAAGGGGGGCCAAAATATTTGACTTTTAACCTACCAAAGTTTTCTTTAGGGAAGTGATTTGGGGGCCACCCCAAAAAACTGGAATTTAAAAATGGGGGAAAAACCCACCAATTAAAGGGCTACATGCAGAATTCCAAAAAAACCCCCCAACCTAATGCATGTAGGGCAAAATTGGGGGCCGCTTTCCATGGAAATGAAATTTAAAATTAAGATCATTAAAATTTTTGGGCCCAAAAAGTTTTCAATTTAAAAAACTTAAAAACCCAAGAGAAACCCCAAAATGAGCCCTCTCGGCACCGATTTTGGGGCCCCAAACCCAACCCAAGCTGACACCAGCACTGCTTCAAGTGGGGAGAACAATTAAATTTGGTACAATGCCTTTTTTGCGGGTTTTCCTACTTAAAAAAGCTGTAAAAGGCCCGTAATTTTCAATTCACTTACACTTCAACTGTGAGGGGACAAAATCAAAAACTAAAATCCGAAAATCACATTGTAGGTTTTTTTAAGAAATTTAAATTTTCCCATTTTTTGCATGACAAAAATGTTTTTGGGTACATCAAAAAGCAAACTTAATAGGGGGTAAAAAACTTTTTTTTTGCAATTCGAGTCATACATTTCATTAGGCCTTGCCCATTTTTAAACACCCCTGCAGCGGGTTTTTGGGCCCACCCTTTCCCAACAGCCCTTTTCTCCCCAAAACCTTCGGGTTTTGGGGGGGCTGTCGCTGGGCAATACGGACTTTCAGCCCACCAAAATTTCTTTGGGGTTTCCCGGGTTACCCCGGGGCCCTTGAAAGGGTTTCTTACGGACCACCCCTTGGGTTTGCCCTGCCTGTTTTTTGGGGGTCGTTTCTGCTGGAAAAGCCCACCCCGACCCATTTTCAATCCCTCTTACTGGGGGAAGGGGTTTTTGGGCCCAAGACCCCTCCCCGATACTGGCCCCATCCCCCCCCTCAATAGGGTGCACCCCTTTCCCCCCTTGTAAAAACCCTCCCCCAAAGAATTTTTTTGCCTCCCCCCCCATGTTTCACCTTGGGTGGTGTTTTTGGCGTTGTCCCACCTTTTTTCCCCCCCCCTCCAAACACGGCAAAGGGGATTTTGCCCAAAAAAAGCTCTTTTTGTCCCCAACCACATGACCTTCTCCCTTCCTTCTCTGGATCATCCAGAGGGAATTTGGGCAAACTTAAACCCACCCTTTGGCCCACGTTGGCTTAAACAGGGGTATTTTCGGGCGTTTGAAAATTTTTTTAATCCTTGAGGGCGTAGGGGTGTTCTAATGGTTTTTTTTTTGGACTTTGGCCCCCGCTCCTTGGGTCATTGACCAGGTCCTCCCGGGTTAAATTCGGGGCGACCCTCTCCTTCCTCATGTCAGGAGGGCCCCACGGGGGTGAATTTTGCGGACCCCCCAACGGGGGTGTTGCCCCGTCATCTTAAAACTTTTTCCCTTTTTCCCTAAAAATTTTGGCCCAAACCGTTGTTGCCTTCTCCCCAAACCCCTTGCCTTTTGGGCCTTATCCCCCCCCCCGCCTTTGCGGGGGGGTTCTACAATTTTATCCCGGGGGGGTCCACACACCGGGGGTTTTTGGGCCATTGTGGGGGTTTTGGAGTCTGTTTTGATTAAAGGGGGTTGGCCCGGTGTCCTTTTTATCCCGGAAACGGGGTTTCAAAGGTGCAGTTAATACGGTAATGAGGGGAAACAAAGGGTTTTCTTAAAGAACAACTAACAGGTCGGGAACCCGGGAATTCTTAGGTTTGGAAAGGTGATCAAATACTTATGTAAAGAAAAAATGGAAATTTAATACAAAAAAATCTATTTTTAATGTTCGGTTTTTTTTTTTGGATTCCGCTCTCACATTTAAAAGGGGAGCAGGTAAAAAAACCGACCTCTAATTTTTTGGAAGTGGGAAAAACCTAAAATGGGGGGGGTTTTAAAAAATCCTTTTCTCCCCCTGAAAGTTTTCCCGGCCAATAAATCGCTTCCGGAAAAAAATTTAAAATTAAATTTAAATTTGAGAGAAAAAGAGAAGAGAGAGAGGGGAAAAGGGAGAGACAAGGGGACAAGGTAAAGATAGAAGAAAAGAAGGGGAAAATAGAGAAGAGTTGAAAGGGGAGAGAGGGGCGGAG